ATTTTTTTAATCCGCAACTTTTTCTTTCCAGATACGGCTTCCGTCCACACGCATCCGGCAAATTTGGCAGCGAATCCGGATAGTTTTGAATCCGCTCTCCAGTATGGAAAAAAATAAATCCGCAACGAATCAGGTAACGTGTGGACGGTGAATCCGGATATTTTCGAATCCGATGACCTAGCAAATCGTGTCCAGTCTATTAAGGAACAATAAACCAATATGGCGGCACAGCGTGTATGGCTAGTTTCTCTACAGTGAATTCGGATACCATCGGATGCGTGTGGACAGGCGAATTCGATTTGAATACTTTACGTGTGGACGGGGAAAAATTTGAATTCGGAAAGAAAAAGTTGCGGATTCAAAAATGCGGATACGTGTGGACGCGGCCTTAATTGCAAGCTAGTTTCAGCCCAATATCGAGAATACGCATGCAGCTTATTGCAGCAAGAGTGAGGAACTCTAAAAATAAGTTGTGGAACGACTCATCTCGGCTCGTGTTCCCTCAACATTTGTTGTTGTTCCAAACTTCCACTTGTATTTCTGTATCTCGATAACAAATAGATTCCATGTTGCCGCGCATCTGTTCAGTAATAGATCACAGATGACGTCAAAATGCGGTAAGAACAAAAATATGGCACAGGAGCCGTTAGCGGAGTATGTCACTGATGTTCTTACAGCATATCTTGACGTCTTCTGAGAACCATTACTAAACAGACACAAGGTAACATGGAACCTACCTGTTTTATAATAAAGAAACAAATAAATGTCCTCCAATAGATCATTAGGAAGAACAAAAAAAGTAAGAGGGAGAATAATTTGACTTTTATTAGACAGAATAATGGATAATTATTTTATTGACTATTTTAGGTTTTTGCGGGCAATACAGACAGGGTCACCGTTGTGTCACATGACCTGAACCCGCCAATCAGAGCGCGATTCATCCGTTTTAAGATAGTGACTTGGGAAGCACACGTTTCAATGAGGGTGGAGCTCTACGGCTGTCCAGGTTCTGTGCATTTTTCCCAAAATAATCATTCCATTATAACTCTTTGAACCCAGATTGCATGCATTTAGAGATCTCTTAGATGATAGAGGAAACATGGGAAATCTTGAGGTCACAGCACGTCTTAATGGGAAGGCATGTGAAAGTCGCTTTATCCCATGTAGAACATATATATTGAAGTGCAAAAACTCCTCTCCCTCGCTTCCAAATTAAATGGGGCCTTCCTTTCTCTGAACGTAATAAAAAAGGTTAAGGCAAACGATCATATAGTGAAAGCAGATTAAATTTTGAGGATTATTTCAAATGAAGAAATAACAGGGGAACAAGTGAGACATTAAGCCGGTTATACGTGAAATGTATACAAGGCAAATAGTGTTTGTCTGTTTACCTTTTTTTTTAACAGTATCTGTCTGTATTAGGAGCATGTTTGCAATATAATACAACACCTCCTGCGGGCCAGTTTTTATCAGTTCTAAATTGAAAACTTACCTGCAATTTAAAAGAGTATACCAGCCAACAATGCCCCGGCTGCTCCAAAGTTTGCGATAAGACCTAGGGAATCCTTGTAAACTTGTGCAACTTTAGATCGGTTATTGATCTAAAATGAAAATGAAGGAAAAAAAGAAAAGAGGAAACTCATTACTGACGTTGTAGTTGTGTTGATTTTGAGGGTTTTTGTTTCGAATTAAATTGAAATCAATTTAACTTTATAAAGCTCAGGTGTGTTTTATTCATCTATTAAGGGCGTTTTTTTTCGAATTAAATTGGAACTAGTTTTAACTTTATGTAGCTTAGTATATTTCAATAAGTAAATAGTGTTCCCAATTAGTTGTTTTGAGCTAAATACCATAGACACCGAAATAAAGTATTTCATTCATTTTCTCAACCTTACCTTTAGAATGTCAAGAAGCACTAGGTATGGAAAGTGGTAAAATAACTGACAGTCAGATAAGCGCCTCGTCCAGGTATAATGACTTTGGTTCCGCCAGAATGGGCAGACTACACAATCAAGATGGAAGTGGAGCTTGGACAGCCGCCACAAATGATTCCAATCCATGGCTCCAAGTTAATTTTGGAAGTTACGTTACCAGAGTGACACGCGTAGCAACGCAAGGAAGGTATGGAGAATTTATCCAATGGGTCATTGACTACAAACTACAGCACAGTCAGGATGGAGTTAACTTTCAGTACTACAGGGAACAGGGACAGACCACAGACAAGGTGATAAATAAGAAATTGATCGAAGCCTCAAGGCTTTCGAGATAATATCAATAGTAAAGAGTAAATACCACTGAAGCGAACAGTTCACTCAAATCACTAGAACAAAGCTATTTAGTTTATAAATAAAATGCTCGACTGCGTTGGTAGGAAATTGAAATAGTTACCTATTTAGCAACTTAAGCTGGATAAAAGTAAATCAAGTTTACTGAGCTAGTGATTTTGTGAAGTTGAGTTTTCGAGAGTCTTTCGTTAGAGCAAAGTGCTCTGACGAGTGCTCTTTGCTCTTTTGAACTTCAAGTTGATGGATGTCTTAGTCATTCAATTTCCTTGTCATCCTGCCTGATATCATCAACCTGAGCTTAATTTGGGTTAAGAATTGTTCTATTTAAATAGCGAGGAGATTAAAAGGAGACGTAACAGGACATGTAAACGGAAAGGTGGCTTTTTAATGGCACCCAACAGGAGAATTGCGGTGGCCATGCTAGTGGCACTGCTGGAAGTGACGAATTATATTATTATGAGAGAGAATCAGTGGAGGACAGAATAACCAGCAGTTCAAAAAGTATATGTTTTTTCTTTTCTTATTTTTTTTCTTTCTGCCATTTGACCGATCTAGGTCTTTACTGGGAACACAGACCAGGACACCGTTGTGTCACATGACCTTAATCCACCAATCACTGCACGTTACATCCGTTTTCAACCAGTAGAATCAAAGACGTGGATTTCAATGAGAGTGGAACTCTATGGTTGTCAACAAGGTACTTAGTTTTGAAGGTCTTCTCTCTAGTAAGCCAGTTACACACAATACAGACTCAAATGACACCTTGTATATTGTCCAAAATTTCAGTTACAAAAGTAATGCCAGTAATGGATATCAGATATACGTCAATTAACGAATCATAACGACCTACGTTACAGCGGGCCCGCCTTTAGACTACGAGTAGTCCCTCTTTCGCTTAGTCCGTCGTGCGTTACGCGAAAGAAAACTGCAAGAACAAAATAGTCTGGCGAAATCCTGGGGGCGAGTAGCGCGCGAAAGGAGGGACTACCACCTAAGCCACAGAGTTTGACCTTCCACGGGCGAGTGATTTTTCGGTGTAGGATTTCTCATCTTGACGTCCTATTATTATTAAACCTTGGGAGATATCCTGAATAAATGCTCAACTATACTCTTCAAGTAGCGAGGCAAAAACATGCCATGAGAAGTATATCTTCGTGCAATGTTCTTTCAGCGAAACTGCCAAAGAAGTTTTAAAAAGAAGACGGCGACGGAGGGATCTTGTAACGATTTTTGCTGCGTCTGTAGGTGTAAATCTAAAAGTTATTGCGAAAATTTCAAATGCAAAATTTCAACCGAGAATTTACATTGCGTATTTGACATAGGAGATCATCCAGCTGCGCTGAAATATTTGCCGATAGCAGCAGAAAGTTTCGTGTGAATGTTCGGTTTCAAGTGAAAGTCCGGTTCAATCTTTCAAATGGACGGCAGAAAGGCCGAGCTCAGCCGTGAATTCATATTTACTGAATTGTTCTTGGACGATGCTGTTGAGCGGCGAAATCACTATCACGCTCGCAGTCGGGTTAGAGGCGGAAAGCTTTGCCAAACAAAACACTTAATAGATTTAAATCTTTCCAAAGCCTGTTGGCAGAATCGCAAGAACAACACGGCTTGCGAAGCCTGATTCCAAAGTTTCGATTTGCTCCGGTTCCAAAACATTCCTGCAAGACGTCACACGTTTCTCGAATGTTGACAACGTGTTGTCAACGCTCCTAACATAAACCAATCATATTTTTGCGTTGTGAGAGCAACGCATAATTCAAACTCCTTGACTTAGGCGGTAGGCAGAAAAATTTTTTGGGACCATTTTTCGACCGAGCTTTGTAACTGTCCACAAATGTGACGGTCGAGACCTGGGTTCCACTTCACTAAAAATGGCGGCGGGTTCAACTCTGAATGGTGCGGCGTTAAATATGTTTATCCAGATCGACATTTTTTTAGGGGAAAAGCGAACGAATAAGCTTCTCAATGGCAAGAAAGCATGTGTGCCGAAGGAACAGATGTTACAATTGTTCTAAAAACTTGAAGAAGATACAGATGTGGTCACGAAAAAATGGTCCCAAAACATGTTGACAAAAGAGCGAGCGATATTTTGAGACCACTTTG